AACAAATAATAATAATCATTTAAGTAAAGGGGGAGAGGGGACCATGAAATGCCTAGGGAGAGGTGAGAGGATCTTCTCTTAATTGTATAGCTATCTTTAAAATGATATTCTCCTCTTTGGTCCCAGGCCTACTGACACAGCCAGATCTTTAGGCCCTTTTGGAAGCTCAGAAGGATGGAAGCAGATCCCACTTTGGGAGGAAGCAGGATGTTCCAAATATAAAAGGATCTTCTTGTGGACCCCACTAGCCAAAATTCCTTAGCTACTATGTCTGCAGCATGCCTTTGCAGCGAACCAATCTCAGTGGAACCATGCTACTAAATGACAATAATCACAATTTGAATTGTCCTTGAAAACAAACCAGCAGCCAATGCAGCTTATGGAATAGTAGTGTAGTATGGCCCAACCAAGAAGCCCCAAGAACTGTGCATGCACTACATTCTTCATCAGTTAACTTCCAAATACTCTCCAAGGATAATCCCATGCAGAACACACCGCAACAGGGGATAAAAAATATATGTGCTCAAAACCAGCAAACCTATGTGCTGAAGCTGACCAGACTAAGGACATTAGCCAAATAAATACCTGGTAGGCAGAATTTTTCCCCCTATTTTTCTCCCCAAATCTACCGTGTTTCCCTGAAAATAATACAAGGTCTTATTTTTTTTGACCCTCCAAATTTTGCTTGGGCCTTATTATCGGGGGGGGGGCGCTTATTGGTTTGGGGTTGCTGGGTGGCTGCTTTCTTGTGAGCAGGCACCCGAAGAGCCGGGCACACGGCTGTGTTGAACTGTCCTAACAGTGCAACAAAGCCACCATGAGGTGCCCACGCTCATGAACAGCCACCCGGCAACGCCCCTTTCCAGGCGGGCAGAGCGCAACTCACCGACCAAGTAATATCCCAAAGGCGCTAAATTGTGTGGCGCTCTGCCTGGCTAAAGAGATGTTGCGCGAGCACTTGTTCTGCCTCCAGCTTGCGTGCCTCCCAGCCTCACCATGCCCAACTCACCCTGCAGGGCTGGGCCAGGGCGCCGCTGGTGCCGCCACGATACTCTGAGCATAACCGGCTTCCAAACTCTGGAGATCCACTGCTGAGCCAGCCCACAACCATAGAGCGTAGTCCCAGAGCGGCCACTGCCGGAACTCTTCAGCGGATCTCCAGAGTTTCGAAGCCCGTTATGCTCGGAGTATGGCGGTGGTGGCAGCGGGGCGACGGTGGTGCCGTGGCCCAGCCCTGCAGGGAGAGTTAGGAATGGTGAGGCAGGGAGGCACACGAGCTGGAGGCAGAACAAATGCTCGCGCAACCTCTCCTTCCAGCCAGGTAGAGTGCCACGTGGCTTAGCGCTTTTGGAATATTAATGAGTTGGTGAGTGGCGCTCTGCTCAGCTGAAAAGGGGCATTGCCCGGCAGCTGCTCGTGAGAGCAGCTGCCCAGCAAACCTCCCACTCCAGCTGGGCACAGTGCCACCCACCAACCTAACAGTATCCCAAAGGCGTCAAGCAATGTTGAGTGCATTCCCCCCCCCCCCAGCTTCTGCAGCTTTGCCCCTTCGGGGTATCACTAGATTTGTGAGTGGCGATCTGCCTGGCTGGAGGGGGAGACTTATTATTGAGAGAGGGCGTATATTTTTGCCCACAGGAAAAATATGGCATGGTCTTATTATCAGGACATCTCGTAATTTCGGGCAAACATGGTAAGATGTGTCTTATACTCTGAAAAATATGGAAATTGCACATTTAAAATATAGATGTTCTCTCCCTTATCTATTACTATATACCGTGTTTTTCAGAATATAAGATGCACCTTTCCCCCTCAATAAAGGAGGTGAAAATCTGGATGCGTCTTATACACTGAATACAACACTTTTGGCCCACCGAAACTCCACCCTTTTTGCAAAAATGGACCTGCAGCGGGTTTGGGAAGCTTGCAAAGTGCTCCTGAGGGCTGGGGAGGGCAAAAATGAGCAAAAAACTGGGCCATTTTGCGCCCCCCCCCCCCGAGCACTCGACAAGCCTCCCAAAGCTCTGCATGCCCTCCCTTTTTTTGCAAAAAATAAGGCATGCAGAGGGTTTGGGAAGCCTGCAGAGTGCAAAAACTTTTTTTTAAAAAAATTACCTCTTCAAAATCATGTCTTTTCCTCTGGTTCGTCTTATAGTCCGTAAAATACAGTAATAGCAATATGATTGTAAAAATTCTAAGAACAGCATGGATTACAAATTATAGAGTCACTAAGTAACTTAGTAAATAAGTGAAGTCATTTGACAAAATCTAACATTTGTTCTTCTAAATGCAAAAAATATCAATGTGGAATCATACTGATTTCTTTATATCCATATTATTACTTCATAGAAATAACTGCAATGGTAACTACTTCGTTTACTCCATGGAATATAAAGTTGGGAAATCCTTTCAATGTCTACAGATATCTAAAAGCTAGGACTGGATAAGTTTGAGATGCCCAAATGTGGAGTCTTTAGAAGTTCAAATATCTTAGCCTAGGAGTTTTCTCTCAACAACTTAAAGAGGAGAGAACTTATTAACACCCATTTCTTTCTGCACTACATTCATGCTATGACTCATCACTGATGCGGATTGTACATGTTGGAAACTCTGCATTACACCTCTGATGGGCTTCAAGTGTCTCAGTCCCAATTACAAAAATGTAATACAGCTAACAATGGAACAATTCAGTCAAATGTTGAGAGGGGTGGAAACTTTTCTATTCTCAAAACACACACATACATATTGATATATACACACATACATATATACACACTCATAAGGGCAGGTGACTTGCTTTACATGTAAATAAATTGCATCCTTTATGTTTAATTTAGAGTTTAAGATCTTGTTTGGAGAAGGATAATTTTCCATATAAAATTAAGAATAGCTGTTTTTTTTCAGGATCTCATAAGCAATACAATTCACAACATCAAAAATATAAACCAAAAACCCTTTTCAGCTGAATAGATGTGTGCTATCCAAATATATTACTGTAGGTTCTCTTTTTTAAGAATAACTGCTTACAAACAAAGCAGCATTTAAATTCTATCTTGAATGGAATTGAAAATAGGGAAACACAATTCATTTTGAACACAAAGTTGGTATGGCACTCATATGTCAATTTGTGGAACAAACTAAAATACTGTATTACATTCTAATCCTCATCATAGCATTGTTTTCCTGTACATAATATTCTAGATTTATTTTCTTCATCCAGAAACCAGTTTTCTGAAGCTGCACAAAATAAGATATATAGATGAAAAGTAAGCTAATATGTACAACTAGCTAGAACATGCTCTTAAACATTCTATAATAAATTTTGAGGATTATATTATAAATTTCTTGTTGAAAACTGTACCTAATTTTCAACACAAGAAAATGCTGCAATCCCTTTCTGGAGTCAGATTGCCTTATATTCTCCTAGGTGGGTTATAAAGATACTATTTCTGATTCAAATTAGGAGCTACTTAGAATTAAAAATTGATTTTAGTTAAACAGAAAATACTATTAAATTATTAAGTTCATAAACTTTTAAATGGCATCCACTGAAAGAAAAATCATGTTCTGTTCAATGACATTTTTCTATAGAATTTTACATAAACTCTATTAAGGACCAAGTTAAACACTTTTTGATTTTATTCTAAATGCTTATGATTCCATTACCAACTAGTCATTTTAAGGGGAAAATTTTCTAGAGTCCATGGTTGTTCAATACATTAGCAATAATCAAGGGCAATCATCCAAATTTGTAGACAATATTGTTGCACTTACATTCTTCTTCTATAAACCTTCATTTTTTTTAAAAAAAAAGTAACATTGAAAGATAACCAAGCAACACTTAGTAATGTTTCAATGTATTTTATTAAAAGAACAAATCGCAAACTTCTGAATAATAATAAACAGCACAAACTGAAGTTTCTTATTGAGAAATCTTAACTGTGCGGGATCTATTAACATCGAGGCCCTCGACTTGCACACCTATCAGCAAAACACCTTTCCTTCAATGTTGGAGATACCTCCATTCTTCTCCCCCATCTTCGCCGCAGTTACCCATCTAACTCTTTAAAATGTCTCGGTTACACCCGGATTCAGAACAGCGGAAATTCGAGACGCCCTATTTTGCTAAGTCAAGAGCTCGTCTCCTGCAAAATATGTACATTTATATTATAGTCGGTAGTACAAGAGATATCCAAGTTTCTAAATGCAACCATGCCGTGCGGACTATTTAAACAAACGAGACTTACCCCATCTTTTAGTCTTTGCAGACTAAAGCCACGAGTAAAACGAACGCCTTCAGTCTCAGCAGTTCCTACAATTACCGCCCCGCCCAACCTACCGCAGTTCAAGCCGATACTGCATAGAAAACCCCCGCCCCAAATTCAGGCTCAAGCCTGGGGGGCTCTGCTAATTTCGGTCCCCCGGCAACAATTCCACCCCACTTGGACTTACCGAGCCTCGTTTTGCCAGTACATCAAAGTACAGGATACCGGCTACCTCCACTTCAGTTCAGCGTCCTCGCCTTTCTCAAGCTTCTCCACCCAAAAGCCTTCCAAGACCCACGTTTACTTTTGCAAGGCCGCCTCAAAGGCCTTACAAAGGAGGATAGCAGAAGTATAAAAATATAGTGGAAAGGGACTCCTGACTACAGGCCCCCGTCCCGCACATGAAACTCACCCCCGCCCAGTCTCCAAAAGACACATAGGACCCGGAGTGTATCCCCACCACTTTTCAGGGAAACCTTGCTTCCCGCTCTTGCACTCTTTTGATTTTAAGCATTTGAATCTATTCTTTCAGTTTTCATCATTAAAAAAGAAATCACAGGAGTTATTTACCCCACCCAGTCACTTCCTGTGTGGGATCAACATACTCCATCTTTCTCCTCCGCCCCCACTGACGGCCCCGCGACCGAAATGATCCCGGGACAGGAAGAATCACCCTGAGACCCACGCAAGTTTCCGTGAGAAAAGTAAAAAGGAGCCTCGAAGAAGAACAAATACCGGCGGGAAGGCGAAGCGCAAGGTCGTGCCTTCAGCTATGACTGCCTTTGTTGCTCTTGTTATTTTTCTGGGCAAACACGGGCCACTCAAGGAGTTTCCACCTTTCCCCTTTCTACGGAACTCGTACCGGTTCTCGCCGTCCGCCGCGGCCGCTATCGCTGAACCGTCTGAGAGGGTATAAGAGAGAGACTTAAAATGGCGCTGTTCACAAGGAGCTCCTTATAGCGACCGCAGCAACTCGATTGTATCCTGCCGCCACCTCGCCAGGCCTTACGCGCAGCAATCCACGGGCTACCCACCCAGTAGCGCGGAGGACGCACACACGCATACATACAAAAGAAGGTGGAGAAATAGTGCGCTTCTACCCTTCCTTTTTCGTTTGCGCGCGCGCGCGCGCACATAAAAACATGAACATAACCAGGAGGAGGGAGATAAACGGGGGGGAGCTCTTATGAGACACTCGTAAAGGAGTTTCGGAAAGACGAGGAATTGTGGGTATGGGCGGGGGAAGAAAACAATCTGTAGAACTAACCACAAAGGGTGCAGGGATTCAGCCGTGAATGGAGGCGTGATGAGGCTACATAGGGACGGCGGGGGGGGGGGGGTGATCACTCGCTGAGAGAAAGACTTTCCAGGGACTGGCGAGGAGAATGATACTCGTACCCTGAAGGCGGGAGAAAGTTGTAGTAGCTGGCTGCAGAGTAAGCCCTCTTTAAAGGTGCAGGGAACCTCCCGCGATCAAGTCTACTGTACAATTGGTGTGCTTTTTCATGCGAGACTCATTGTAAGAGAGACAATAATGTTTCCCTCCTCATTTGGAGTCGCGAAAACGAGTTTGTTGACGAAATGTTCTGTTTTTCTTCTCTGAGTTTCCGACGGTACTGCTGCTAACTTGTTGCATTCTAGTTGGAGACAAATAAAATAAAACCGAAGTGAAATCTTCGGGATTGTATCGATTTGCTTAGTGCTTTTATTCCGTCTGACTGGACGAATACCTAGCTCCGAATAGTACCCCATCCCCATCATCTCTAACCGTTTCCGCCCTCTCCCAATAAGCAGCCCTTTAAATTTAAGTTCTGGACGGATTTCGGGAAAGGAGGTGGCGGCGACTTCTCACGTTAATGGGAAGCGCTTTTTGCAACTCTCTTCCCTCAATACTCACCACGGAGCGGTTACTAAAGCACATAATCTACGTACTTTTCCATTACAATACAGCTACCCTGACGGGAGGGTGAATGAGTGGTCAGTGGAGGTGTAGATATTAGATTATAGTAACTGCAGTATTTCGATGGGTTGTTTTGCAAATGCGCCTAGCATAGGTTAAGTATGCGATTTATATATATATAATGTCAGTTCTACATTCGAAGAGCCTATATTTACGTACGAATATCTACAGCCCTGAGAACATTTTCAGGCGTAAGCCAATTGACGCGAATTACATGTAATTTCTAATAAACACGTTCTCGATTCAAGTTTTTTTAAAAAAAAAAAACAATTTTATATATGCTGTAACACTTTTTAAAAATGCTGCTTCAAGCTGGAATTTTACGTTATCGTAGTTTTAACATTTAATAAGATTTGACATTTTGGTCGACTAATTAATTTGCAAATCTGGGACTACACTCCTATCAAAACTCTTGAATGTTTGCTAATTTCTTCCTGTGGATTTCCTCCAAGACCATGTTCATTAATTTAAACTATAAACTACACGGAAATTACCCTTGCACGTGGAAACTCCACATGAACGTTTCGTTTATGTATCAGTTTATATTGCTGATGTGAACCGGTAATGATCTCCTTCCTGGCCATAACCTACATTTATTTGTCAGAGTCTCACTGAATTAAGAGATTGATGAATCTATAATCATACCAAACTTAAAAACTGACCAACTCGCTGCCTCATTCGGTCTACAGCAGATATTTACAAAAAAGGTGCGCTTGGCAAGGAAACCTGGCCAGCTTCCGGGCTCCTATGCGACTTCGACGCTTCCTAGGCGAGACAAAGAACTACACTGGGGCAATCAGGATTGGGACCCACCGGGCCAAGGGCGCTGTTTATTCTTTTTCCTTGGCTCCGCCTTTGCTCCGAAGCGAGGAGGAGTTCGAGGCCGGAACTGAGAGATTAGGGACTCTGGGAAGCCACGTGGGGAAGCGGAATTTGCTACAGTATTATCTGCCTGCATCCGCTCCAGCATTTGTACCTTTGCACGGTCTGATCGTGTACTGATATTCTATGGGGGTGGACGCCACTGGGTTGCTGATCTCATTGAATTCAAGGGGACTTGCAACCGAGTAAACATACATAAGATTAGCTTGCAGAATTAAGCAATGTGTGCGTTATCTGTTACTTATTTTACAGTCGGTTGTTTCTACAAATCTGTGTGTGTCGGCATACAGCTGTTATGCCACAACACAAACTTTAGAGTTATAGATTGTGTGCTATTGGCACATTCTTGGAGGGGGGGGAGAAATTGTGCTTTGATTAGTTCGAGATAATACTTACTATCCTTGCACATCTTGCAATAGATTTATTCGAACTATTTCTTTGTTGAAGCTGTTTTCCAATAACTGTTCAATCTTTAATGCATGTATTAAAAGAGAATTTAATATTTGCATAGACAACTCGGGGATGGAGTGCAATTGGTGCAGGGATCCCAAATACATACATTTGGGGAACCCATTGACTTACAATAATATTTTGTAAACTAAAAAGCTGCTGTGGCTGGATTGTTTAAGACTTTTAAAAATGGGAAATAGATTGTGGTGATTTGTAATATGAATATGCTTCTACTTGGGTTAGGGAATCATTGTCCATCAACATAATTGGTCGGAAAAGAGCACATTTGCAAGTGTTGTGTTAAAACTCACAAACATGTAGTACAAAAACAATTACAGCAGTGCCTCCAGCAAAGTGCATCAAAGCCTGCTTAAGAGGGTTTATTATTTCTTTTGAACGTGAAGGAACATATTCCAAAATGGGGACAGCCATTGACCAGTTTGCCTTTCTGGTCCGTTCTTTGCTCACTTTCTACAAAGTCAGATCTTTAGCAGTGCCCTCATGAAACACAAAATCATATAGGGTAGGACATAAACATGACACACTGCTTTAAAAATAACAAGTAACTAAATGCATTTTACTAGTCATTTATCTTGGATTTTAATAGTTGTATGAATATGTCATATTTTTCTAATACTTCCAAATAACCATTTGAGTAACTTAGGTTGGGGAAAAAGTTGGAATGAGAGCCTCCTTTGGGAAAGTTTGTGGGGAACTACCACCAATATTTTGCAATGCACAGGATGAAACATGGTTAACTCAAAATGTCTAGATCAGCTTTCCCCAGATGCTGTCTACTTCCAGCCCTGAATTCTTGGAAGTGTTCCACTACTGAAAGGTTCCCAGATTGTGAAAGCAAAGCAACCCAGTTAGTTAACCCAGGAGTTAAGATTGCCAGCCTTGATCTGCTGAAGCTCAGTTCTTTCACTTTATCTCTTATTTTGAGATGGAGAAGAAGAAATAGAACAAAATTTGCTAGGGCTAAAAGCTCCCTGGAAAATCACTCTCCTACTTACCATCTAACTCTCTGAGGAATACAATCTGCTTTTTAAATTCTGTTGAATCAATACATTTGTTTTGGGGACGAGATGCTATATTTTGCTCATAGAAAGTGATAGAAAGCATAAGTGAATATTGCAAAACATTGTCTCATGATAGCCAGGAGTGATAAATACCTATTCATTTCACTGCCATTCAAATTTACTCTTTATTAAAGTAGAGAGAAAAAAGTGCCTAATTCAACACACTGAACTAGAATAATTTAATATAAAATATGAAAATTTTCAGTGGCGTTTTATATTAAAAATTATTTAATATTGCCATGAATATTGGAAAATATATGTGTGCATGTGAAGGATGAAAAAAAAAGGTTTACCCTTTCCCAAAAGTGAAAGTTTTTTTATTTTATAATCCTTAGTTATTCCAACCGTCCTTTAAAATAAGAAGCACTGGGCAGTGTTAATAAGCACAGATTGTCTTGTAATAACTGATAATTTTTATATTACTTTTAGTAGTCTCATCTGGTGCAATGATTGTAAAAGTAAGCAAGCAAAAACATTGCCTTCTAACCTTAATGGCTGTTGATGGTTTATTAATAGCATCAATATATCCTTAGCTGCTTTAAGATTGTGCACTGAATGAGCAAAAGATTTAGCTTTGCAATCTTAGGTCCATTTTTCATCTTCATTAAAAATAGGTGCTGAGAGATCCATTTTTGGGACCTTTGGACAAAGATATGAGATATTCAGTTATTGCTTCCATTAGAGATCACTATCATGTTGTCAGTAAGTAATTCCACTTAGTACGTGATCACAACAGGAAAATCAGTCTACTGCCTTTGAACATTTCATGGTCCTTGATACCTTTCAGAAACTCTTTGTATATCATCCCACCCTCTGAGGTCTGAAGAGCTGGGGCTATTGAACTCTCGATGTTGCTGGAGTAGGAAGGATACTGTGGTACCTCATTCTCCAGACTCACTGAAGAAGGCTATGTGAATTGCCTACTAGACAAGTAGGTTTCTCAGCTTTTATTTTAAATTCATTTTGAGAGGCCTTTGTTTCCCCCTTTCCTTTTATATTTTTATCATTGCTTCTGCATCTGTAGTATAGTCTTTAGGACACTTTCCCATGTAAACAATGTACATGTTATGAAATTGGGGTTTCTTTTGTTTTATATATTACTTTTAAGTTTTGGATTAGGGTTTTTATTGTTTGTTTTATAGAGATCAAGTTGGTAAATTTGGGGGATGAAAATATTGGAAGTAACCCTGCTAATAATGAACTTGTACTGCTGTTTACAATTGAAATAATAATCCCTCACTCATAATATAATTTATACATAAATTAAGATCATTTATTGTGTTTTCTTTTTGCTAATTAGGCTTAAATCCCCATGTATCTAAAAATGAGTAACTCTGACTTTCCAAATGTATTCATAAGAATGCTGTTTGAAGTTTCCTAAGGGATTGGAGCGTGATAGGTTTGTAGTGTTGAGTAGATTTACTTTCCCTCCAGCTTTGCTCCGTAAAAGTGTCAAGGCTCTTTTTGATACTGTTATAATCTAGCTCTATAAGAAGAAATATACCTTTTAAGGAACTGACCTTTTTATTCTTTTGAGAAAAAGACATAAGTGTTTTTCTTAAGACGTTGATCTGTTTTTATTTATTGAAATTAGTTTTGTTTAAATTCAAGAAGCCAATGGATAAAATACAGAAAATAATGATTAAGATAAACAGAATTTGTTTTGATATAGACTGAAAATATT